ATTTATAGACTAATGAAAGGTAGTGCAAACTGATTAATAGTGTGACACATTTATAACAGATAAGTAAAATTTGTCTTTGAGTTAAAGATTTTACTCTACCTCCTTTGCACAAGTAGAGATATTACATTTTTGCCTATCTTTGCTCACAAAATAGCTTACGCTTTTCACATCTTGATCCTGTCATGATCTGGCCTGATTCTTCCACTTTAAATTGTTTATTTCATTCACCTGTCGTTTCCCTCCCTGTCGTAATTATCATTTATTCCTGTCACCAGTTTCCTTTGTCTTATATTCGGTTCAGCCTGAGCGATCCAGGCCAGATAATTATTTGTTTCCTGTTAGTCTGTGTTTTCAGTTAACTCCACAGGGTTTTGCCTCGGAACGCGGGGAGGATCAGTTTTTATTTCTGTAAGCCTGGCTCCAAGGAGGAGACCAGTTTAAAGTTTCTGACATTAAGTTCTGGTCCAATGTCCTGTCTCTGTTACCCTCAACCACTGAGCCTGCCCGTCTGCACCTGAGCCCGTCTGCTTCTGTGCGTCTCCGCCTGGTCACGCTTCTGGACTCCGTGAAATACCTCCGTGCCTGGAAGCCTGGATTATGTCTGATCTGTCTGTTCCTGTCTGATCTGTCTTCCCCTGACTCTGATCGACTTCCTGCAAGTCCTCCGGGCTGCAGCACCGGAGACACACGTTGCGTCAGTTGTCAGCCCATCGGCTGGATCGTACCCCCTTCTAGGGAGATGGACTGAACTGTTAAAGCAGGTAAGTGACTCACTGAGATAATCATCTTCTGTCAGATGATTGTGGTCATTTACCTGTGTTTCTCCCACAACCGCCCCCTCCTGCAGCAGCCGTGAGCTGCAGATCCACAGCAGAGTCCTTCTGTTTTGTTCTGTTATGTCTGTTTTAATACACGTTTTGAACTTTCCTACTGGCTGTCTCACCTTGAATACCGGGTCCATCTGTCCCGCTTATGACAGACACAGATTTTAAATTTGGCTTAGGCTTTGTCAAGGCTATTCTAATGTTACTAATCTAAGATGTCTGTTACTGGATCTTTAGGACTGTTTTTCTACTGGAATTTGAACCCCTGTCCAAGTATAAGATCTTTTGAGGTCACCAAAATGGTTGCTCCTGGACTACCCTGGAACATCCAGGGTTGTGATCCTTTAGTTTTCAATAAAATTGAGATTCTAATTTTAAGGATGATCCAGCTGTAAATATCTAGTATTTCCTCCACTTCTGTCAAAGCTCAAAGACAAGCAGGAGACGTACTAAAGAGCATGCATAACTTGGGGGATAGATTGTTAGGAAAATAGAAATCAGAGGCAGTAATTATTGCTAAGAATCTGCCCACAGCTTGCTGGAAAACTAAAGACTGTGGCAAGCATCTGATTTGGCCCCAAGATGGAGGCAAAATCTGTGGAAAGGCCACAATGAATTAGTTTTCATCGTCTCCAAAGCAATCACAAGATTTACGTACCTCATTGTTACGGTTTGCAGACATCTTACTTAGTTTTCATGCAAACACACAGGTGAGACTATTGTAGGGCTGAATGATTTTGCCAAAAATAAAAATTGCGATTATTTTCAACCAATATTGCCATTGTGATTTTATTGCCATTAATACTTTTCACTAAGCACAGCCATGCCAATGTTTTACTCCAGGGTTTAAATTTTTACATGACCTTGAAAACCTGCTTGTCCAGAATCCAGTGATGCAGGACTTTGCAGTAACATTTGCATGAAAACGTTCTTACTTCTACTATAATGCATCGATCTAGGTGCTACAGTAGATGCAACTCTTTTTTTCCCCTTCTGTGCAACAGGATACCCTCTTTAATCATATTACCACCGCCTAAGGGAGGAATTAAGTGTCTTACTCTTGTCAAATTGATTGTCTCTGCGAATTGAAAATTGCATTGTTTAAAATTGCGATTATAATGCAAATGCAATTAATTGCCGAATTGACGCTTAGAAATCGGAGAGTACATGAATGCAGCACCTACTGCCTAACCTCACATGATCTCTGCCCAGACTACAGAAGGAGGGAAATGTATAACACTGCTGCAAAAGCTTATATATAACAGGTAGAGATACACAAGATATATAAGGAGAGGACTAAAGGTATCATGGTTAGTAAAGTACAAGTTGGTGAAACACGTATAACATATCACAGAACTATAAGTAACAATAAAATAATCCTTTCCCATCAAATATTACACAGTATTTGAATAGTAACATAAAACTGCTAAAGCAGGAATATAGCATTTATGTTAAAAGTTGCTGTATCGAGCTGCAAAAAAAAGGGCCACATAGATTCAGTGTCACTTATGAACATGCCTGTTATTGAATTTATGTTAACCATAAGCAAAACTGATTAATTAATATAGCACACTTCATGTACAAGGCAACCAGATGCTTCACAAAAAGTATAAAAAAATTAATAAATTAAAATAAATAAATTGAAATATCAGTATAACATAATTGAGCCAAGTTCTTGGACGTTGCAGAGAAGTTCTTCAGTTATTGATATTTTCCTGCCTTCCTGAATGTTTAGGTATCAATTTGATTTGTTTCAGGTACTGTATGTTCTGATGTGTGACTGTAATTAAATGGCTTTTCTCACTATCTGTGTCTAAGTATTTTTTTTTTTGAAGAATTTTTACTTTTACTCACAACATTTGAATATAAATATCTCCAGTTCTTACTTTTTGAAAACTGACTTGTTTCTTCTATAGCTATTGATAACAACCAGTCATGACAGCTGCAACAAAATGGAGGGAAAAATCAAGAGAGCAAAGATAATCTGTCCAGTTACAGCTGGAGATCAGTTATTTAATAACCCTGTTAGAGACATGGATGAGGAGCGGGGGCTGGGAAATACTGCCGATGATGGATCAGATTTTAAAATGCAATAAGTTCCCCATCTTTTTTCACTTCTATTTGATTTTTAATTTACATGTTGATTATGCTTTAAGCTCTATTTAACTTTAAGGCAATTTGCTACTTGAATTGTGTAAACATAGCAGCGTTAAAAAGGAGCGTATACAGGACTTGTGGTAAGTCTATGATATCCTTTCAGAAACTTTATTTTAGAACAATAAAGGAAAAATAACCACATTTCTGTAAATTTATTTATTTTCTTTACAAGAATAGTTTTTTTAAGGTATTTAGTGTATTTCAATGGCTCTAGCTTTGCCTGTCAGCACCTTATTTTCTCAGTTTTAAGACTTATAAAAACAAATAATCTACATTAATTATGACTGGAACGAGACTTTGCAATATTGGAGATTTAATTAATGAGAGAAAATTTAGTTGATACGTGCGTTCTTTTTTAAATCTTCAGCTGCCAGCTTTTAATAATAGTATTTACCTTTTTAATAGGTAAATACTATGCATTGCATGCATTGTTGCATGCAATGAAAAATGTTATGTTGGTCTCTGGTATGTTGAATATTTATATTTGAGAATTTTAAAATGTTAATTCTTATATTCTATACAAATGCAAAGATTTGCCATTTGAATAAAACTTTTTGTGCGTAAGTTGCCAATGCAGCAGCTTGCTTTGTATTTGTTAAAAGGACAGAGTGCCACTAATTGCGACAGTATGCTTGAAGGATCCTTCCATATAATAGACAATGCAGTGTCTTGCAAAGAGTGTTGATATGCACATGGAATATTCTATCTATTGCATTTTCCATTGCACGTATACTTCACAACAACCACAGATTATTTAGCCTGCACATAACACCAATCATTTTCAGGTTTGATTAATGCAAAGTGAAATAATTGTATTTAGATATCTTCCTCCTAGTATTTTGCACTTTCTGATGATCATCATGTTCTGCATATTCATGAAATGTTAAATGGCCACCTGCTTTTTTGTCTTATATAAAATAATGTCTGCACCTGATTAGAGGATCAGCTTTGCAAGTCCACTCATTGTTTGCACATGTTTTTATACGGTACATGCAGATTGTTAGTACACCAGGGCGAAAGTGTTTCTGTGTTGACTAGAGGAAAATTCTGGCATCCCCTGATTACAATGCTTTTTCCTATGGGTTTATTGATTGGTTTTGTTGAATTTTAGGGACATCATAGTAATAGGGACTAAATGAAAATAGATCACTTTTAAACATTTGAGAGATTTTGAAAACGAGGGGTGTCCTGATAAAGCAAATAAATTTACATTTTCATCTTTGAGCATCGATGGATACTGATATGGACTTCATATAATATCTGCATTAATCATATTTTTATTACTTATTTTATTGATTGGAATATTAGAAAAGGCTTGATCAAATTATATATCTCATATATAACAATGCTTAACAACAACAGGTTCTAAAAAAGCAGACTAATGTGATGCTTTTTTTTAAATAAAATTCTAATAGGTAAGAAAACTTTTGCTAGACATTGTAGCTGGGAACCATCATTAAAGACCAAAAAGTGCATTTTTGAATAATTATTCACTTCCTTATTAGAATAAATTTTACACTGGGGGGAGAAGTTTTATTCTGACAGCAGCACAGTTTATCAGTGTATAAACAGGGGCTTCATTTGAATGGATCTCTTTAACTGATTAGGCCAAGGAGCCAACGTCTTTGAAGAACGTTGATTGCTTTAATCTGCATACAAATGACTTCTCAAAGAAAACACTGTCTGCTCACCACTGAGGCAATCGCTTGGAAGCCAGGATTACCAGTAAAATCATAATAGTACAAATATTTATTGTTAACAAAATGAATGCATTGCCCTAACTGAGCTCAATTAAATATTTGGTGGGATCCTGAGACAAATCTTCTCCATTAAATGGTGACTGACCGAGTCTATTGTTCACTGTGTTTGTTATTATTATAAAAATATCATCATTTCTCAAGAGAAAGAAAATAAAAGGCTTATTTTAAAAGTTGAAAGTGGAGATTGCTCTTTGTGCACATGAAGGTTTTATGTTTAGTTTTTTTTTTTGCAAGAAGGGAAAAACAACAGGGTTCTTACCGCTCTGGTGGGATTGCTCTGATCAATGGGGTTTTTGAAGTCTGTGCGGAGTTCATCAAAGGCAATAATCTGGAAAGAAAAAAAAAACAGCACAATGGTGTGAGAAAATGTTCCTTCGACTTTTCTGTTTCGATTCTTCCTCACTTGTAAGAATTGCCTCGTCTCAGGCAGCAGGCCGATACCATCGATGGCAGCGCCTCTCAGCATCCCACACAGCTGCGGCCACATTGTTCACATTGTAGGAACACACATGGTGATTTAGGAGTGAATGTGCATATGCAATTAGTGAAAGGATTGATCTTGCTGCCTTGTATGTTTCAGAAGCCTTTATACATAGAAACAGCCACGACAGACTGCATAGACAAATAAATGATTGGAAAATGTAATTTTAAATCCAACCTTTGATAAATAAACGGACATACAAGTATTAATATTAAATGTATGATTTTATTTGTTTTAATCTTAAAATGGAATAAATTTCATGTATCCAAAATATAAATGCAGTGATTGTGTTACATGAAAGTATTTTGCTTATTTGTTGCACAACAAAATCAAATTATTTCAGTCGTCTTTGGTGTAAGCTGTGAGCTCTCGGGATGAAAGAGAATTTATCTCTTATCTATCTGATTAGTAATTCTTTAAAGTTAATCCTTAAAGGGAAGCAACACATTTTTAAGACTTGTTAAAATACTGGAGGAGAGAAAAACTATCAGCTGTGACGTTAACGTCTAGTAAGTGATTGCATGAAGAGAAACCACTAGTATGTTTAATAGAAAATGTCCTGGTAATTTCCCCAACTAAGTCCATATGGCACCCCCTCATCTTTCACACTTAGCTCTCTTATAAACAGATGCAGTTTCCATGGAGACATGGTGAGTCCCTCGCTGGGCACCATGGTTACTCTTATAGAGAGAAAAAAAACTGATTGGTTGCGAGCCATAGATAGTTGGGGTGCTGCACCCGTGGGTGGAAGCAGACTGGGGGTGTATATTCCAGGTTTGAACAGCGTTTTTAAATCAACACCGAGCCAGACGCACTCCTCCCGCCATCTCTTTCACATGTAGACACATCGAGTGACTCACATGTAGTCTCACCCACTTAGTCAACTGGTACGTTAGTCATTTTAAGTCCTATAGTCATAATTAGGCGTTTTGTAGTTTGCATCGTTCCTGCCTCCGTGCAGCAAATGTAAATATAGGTGAGAGATCAAAGCTGAGGTATTTACAGGGTGTGTACTTGTGTAACGGCCAAACAAAGTGATCTCCTGAGATGTCTGTACAAATTCCACCAAAACAAAGGAAACAGAGGCCCACCAATCAGGAGGCTAAGATTTATAATCAGTGTGCTTTAGCAAAAATGCAGAGCACCGTGTTTTAGGGAACTCTTTATTGTTAGATCTCTGTAATGGTTGAATAAATGCAAAAAAAACTGCATGCACCTCGTGGGTGAAGTTACCCTCTGTTTCAAATAGTTAAAATCCAGCATATAACATCTGTGCTGCAAAGAAACCGAGTCATGCATGAAAAAATTTATAAATAAATTTGACATAAATATAATTTCTTCTACCCTACCAATCATTGTCTTATACAGTAAACTTCAACACTTATTGTCATATCAAAAATCATAACGTCTTCTGATTTTTATACGGTCGAAATGAAGGTTAAAGGTGTAAAAGTCAGACTAAGATGTCTACTACTGTTAAAGTATTTTGCAGAAGAGCATGGTCATTGTATTGCTTATTATTGAAAAATATAACAACAGTGCATGAAAAAACCTAAGATGGATGTATACAATATTTTTTTATTTGATGTTGTTTTTACTTACATTGGTGCTTAAGGACTCACCTACAGTATTCCCATTTCTACAAGAGTGCTTGTTGGCTGCCTGTGTCTTATAGGATCATGTTCAAAATTCTCCTTATGTCTCTCAGAGCCTTACATGATCAGGCTCCTTCTTACATCAGTGATCTGATCCAGTATTAAACCCATGCTGGGGCTCTGAGGCCTGCGGATCAGAATCTGTTGAAGGATCCACGCTCTTGTTATCATACTAGAGGTGACCATTCCTTTCAGGTTGTTGCTCCCAGGCTTTGGAACGATCTTTTGCAAGCATTGCGCTCTATTGTGTCTGTTGTCACCTTCAACAGCTCGCCTAAGACCCATTTATTTGTACAGGCTTTTAATTAACTACCTTTTGGGGTGCAATGATTTTCTACAGTATTGTCTTGGCCTTTTATATTGTGTATTCTCTGATGTTTTTAAACTGTGTTTTGAAGCACATTGTGGCTTTGGTCTGTGAAATGTGAAATATAAATAATGCTTACTTACTTACTTACTTAAAAAATAACCCTGCAAACTTACATTAGGGCTGATTGATTTTGCCAAAAATCCAAATTGTGATTATTTTTAACCTATATTGTGATTTTATTGCGATAATACTTTTCACTAAGCACAGCCATGTCGACGTTTTACTCCAGGTTTTCAGTTTTTCCATGACCTTGGAAGCCACCTTGTCCAGAATCCAGTAATGTATAGATCTAAGTGCCAGCTGCAACTCTCTTTTCCATTTTATGCAACATCATACCCACTTTACTGCCACCTAAGGGAGTAATTTAGTGTCTTGTTAAATGTATTGTGACTAAAATTCAGTTCCTCTGCATTTTGAAAGTCGCATTTTTCTAAATTGGGATTAATTGCCTAGCCCTAACTTACATTAGTTGGCCTGGAAGTGGTACAGAGTAACACAAGGGATTTTAGTAAGTGAATCATGTGCAAGTATAACATCAAAACCTGCACAAATACACAAAAAAGCTATTTGAATAGCTGCTATAGTGGCCATTTTGCAGAAAAACAGAATATAGAGTGATGCAGGTTGTGTTTTTTCAGGGTAGTAATGGGTTGTTGTGATCATAGGTAGGGATGTCTGGTCATGGCAGCACTGGTAATTACATTTAAGGACTAAACTTTATTGTGTTAACCCTAAATGGCCTGAGCAGTGTGTGCGCTGAAGAAAAGAGAAAAAACACATGAGGTGTTGTACAACTGCGTGTAGGTGGATGTGTTTGTCTGCATGTGTGGGATGATATAAGAGTGGATGTCCACAGGCCTGTTTCACTTTCCCGATGTGTTCAGTAGATTCAGTGTGCACAGTGCCACTTACCTGCCATATGACAAAGAAGATGAGCCCGGCGCACAGTACCAGGGTGAGCATGTAGCAGAAGGCCGCGAAGGTGAACGCCATGGCTGCACCAGCCAGCCTGATGACCGGTGAAAAGGAAGTAGAACTTCCTGCCTGCTCTAATAATATCGATTTTAAGCTACTGGTAGCTTCCCCTCCCTCTTCTACCTGAGTAGGGCTTATTGTCGGTTTCCACTTCAGGTGCAAGCAGACTCTATACAGTCCTGGTAGGTAGAGCAATCACTTAAAGTAACAATCAATAGTGAGCTCGAGCTGCAGCTGTGCTGCTTCCACTATTTCTCCTTTTGTGTAGCTGACAGCAAAACGTCAGTCGTCTCGCTGGGGTAAGGGAAGCTCTGAGGAAATATGTTCTCGGCCAGTTGTCTGTTGTTGTGCCCCCAGTGCTCCTCTTTTTCAATCTCTGACAGGCAAAATGTCTGTCTCCTCCTCCCCAAAGGAGTTTCTCCTGAGACGAAACCCACACATTTGTCTCTGAAGGTAAGAGTGTCTGATGGACACGCTGAGAGCAGAAGCACAGGATTCTTGTTGATATTAAGAGCAGTAAAAAAACAAGATACCAACAGGAATATTGTCTAGGATGGTTATGGCTTTATGTTAGTTTAGTAGTTAGGTTTATGGCTTACAGTTTAGTCTAAAACATCATTAATGGCATGTTATTTCAGCTTATATGTAACACCTTTGTAGACATCTATAGTTGGTACCCAGTTTATTTCATCAATAAGCTGTTGAACTTTTATTATTCTTAACTTAAATTGAACATATTGCTTTAATAACTAAGTAGGCTAACTGTGAAAACCCAGATTCACTGTTGATTGAGTGATTTACCAAAGCAAGATCAAGACAGCACAGATAAGTTTGGAATTACGAAAATGTAAGACTTTGAGGATCAACAAATGCACGATCTAAGGATGGATGGATGTCTTAACTGACCTTAACATCAAGTAGAGAATACCTGTGTCTGGTAGGAGTCGTTTTTGCCTCTGAACAGTCCACTCTGCCCTTGTTTCTATCAGTTTGGGTTGGCACCATGTCAGTACTGTCTGCCCTATATCTACGCCTCAGATGCATTCCTCAGATTTCTCCCGTCAAAGAGGAGTCTTCAAAGCAGATCTTCTCCAATGTGCCAGAAAATGTTTCACTTCTGACAGGGAAAAAAAACAAAAAACAATTAAAAAGTAGGGGAAGATGGGGAGAAATTTAACCAGAACCCATGTTCATAGTACGCAGTTATGCTGATTTTGAAAACACTCCTGTTGAGAAGTAAGACATGTCCAAATCCCTCAGAAGTCATGACTTATTGATACCAGTCTCTGTTCGCATCTCCCTGTTTGTGCTGTCTCTCTACCTGAAGCCGCTCTCTCTCAAACCCCCTTCCAGAGATTTTGAGTGCATTTCCTGAGTCTGCCGCCTGTGGCTGTCTCTTTCCTCTATTTCTTAGACTGCGAGAGAAAAATTTCAACCACGGTTGGTGTTATAAAAGTCAGCCAATAGCGTTGCTCCGTCTCTCCCCCGCTCTCCTGTTTTCTCTCTCCTCCTCTCTGTCAGTGTCCCTCTCTCTTGCATTTTTATATTTCTATAAACCCCTGCTCCCCAGAGACCGATGAGGGGGCAGGGCAAGCTGGAGATGTCTGCCTCCCTCTCCCTCCTCACCAAAACCTTCAGTCATCCATCATACCATGAAAATAAGCCTGGCTCTGAGAAGGTGTTGCTTTCTGTTACCTGTCATTTCCTGCCTCCGCACCATTTGCATTCAGTAAATTGCTCTATTTTACTTTGTCTGCTTCTAATTCCCTTCTGTCTCAGTCTTGTGATAAACTGATTTCAGAAACCTTTGGTGTCATTCAATGCAAAGTGATGGCACATACTATTTAGAGATAAAATCTGCTCTCTGGATCTGAGTTTACACAAAATTGTGAAGACATGACCAGAGCTGGATCGTTTAGTTTTCTTTTGTTTTGTCAGACCCATGTAAGATGGCTGTAGTTGCATAGTTTTTACTTATGTTCAAAGTTTGCATCAGTTTAAAAAATATATATATTTATATGATCAGATGTGACCAACACTGAATTATTTCCTTAAATGATAAAAAATAATGTGTAATAGAAAATTAACACTACTCTTCACCCAGAACTCACTATTTCTATGTTTAAAGATGCTTTTCTTTTTTAAGTAGGGTGGGGGAAGTTAGTCATAGCTGATGGATGCAGGTAAACAAGGGGCAATCAAGGAAACAATTACATATGATTTTAGACCGTGATGGACTCTCAACGTACTGTCAGAATTTCATTGGACATACCTCGGTCAAAGTAAATTTTCCAATGTCAAATTTAAAACCTAAACTCGACTTAGAAACTGTAGCAACACTTGAAAATTGGCTTTGTTCTTCTCTGCTTTTCAACATAATCAATTATGTCATGCTAATCACAATTTTTTTTAATATAAAATAAATCTAAGTTGAATAGATGTGAGGGCTGCACAGTAGCAAGGTCCCGGGTTCGATTCTCGGCCCGACGTCTTTCTGCAGGGAGTTTGCATGTTCTCCCCGAGCATGGGTTCTCTCCAGGTACTTCAGCTTCCTACGACAGTCTAAAAACATGACTGTTAGGTTAACGGGCTTCTCTAAATTCTCCTTAGGTGTGAGTGTGTGCATGAAAGGTTGTTTGTCCTGTTTGTCTCTGTGATGCCGTGGTAGACTGGAGACCTGTCCAGGGTGTACCCTGCCTCTTGCCCATTGACAGCTGGAGATAGGCACCAGCATCCCTCGCGAGAATATAAACCCTACTGAAAGTGTTCAGATTGAGTAGTTGTAGGTCCATCAGCCACCACCCTTAGAGCATCCCCACCAACTTTTATCGCAAAGTTGCACCCTTGGATTGCTGCCCTTCCTTCCCTTTTTCTATCCACTGTTAATGTCTCATCTGATTCATCATTACATTTCTATTTTTTCATTTTATTTTATTTCTATTAACTGAGGTTTGTGTAATATTTTTTATCATTGTGTAAATTTTATCATGTAAATGGAGGAAGAAAAATAGAATCAGCTTCAGCACATAATAGGAATTGATTAGACTGATATCAAAATAATCTGAACCAGCCATAACAACTCTGCATCAGTTATTCTCTAGTGATTACTTAACAGCATAAGCTGAGACATGATATGACACTATAAGATATTTTCCCCACTTTAATTTAAGAGAAGATGTCCTTTAAGATACTGATGAGAATATTTGGCTGAAAACACGAGGTCAGACAACAGGAGGTGTTAGTTTTTCCCTTGCAAGGCTTTCCTAGTTCCTTTTTTACATATTTTTTGAATTTTCTTCTTTGTTCTATGCAGTGCTGTCTTCCCTGTCTATATCTCGGTGGCCTGTCCTATCAGAATATTTACAAACAATAAAAATGCGAATCTAAATCTACTCCAGTCTCTTGCCATCAATCTCCAACATACACTAAGATGTACCTCATATTTACAATTGTAATCAAAGCCTTAGCCATAGTTTACATACTGTAAAAACATCTCTTCAGAATACACTGCCAAGATGAATAAGCAATTGCTCTGTGTGATTTGTAATCCAGGAATACTTGTCATTCTGAAGTCACTGATAAATTAATATATATATTTAACTTAGAGATGCCTTCAAAGATGAGACTGGCTTTTGCAGGTAATCCAAGGTTTATGATTTGTTTTGAGAGGCGCATGGAAACATTTCAAGGATGACTTACTAAAGTAACAGTGAATTAACTGTAATAAAGTTGCTATTTTTGTTTTCATCTCATCTTTGAGATGAGATTCATTTTATTTTTTTACCAGCAGCCCAGTCAGGCCTTTTTTTTTACTTATTCTTTTTTACATGGTTTTAATTCCTCTCCTGTTTCCAAAGTGCTTATGCAAAATTTAAGACTGTTATAAAATGAATACTTTTTGTAACATCGTTTCCTTCAAGAGAAGGAAAGCCAGACTTGTACTTTCTACTAAATCTGGCAATATGTAAAATGTATTAGATAGAGTACACTCCAGATATATGTGCATGTTGGTTCAGGCAACCTCTAAATTTCTCTAAGGAATGATTAGGTGTTTACATTGTATTTTGTTTTACCCTATGATGAATGATCCGTTCACAGTGTCACTTGATGTGTGAAAATTCTGTACAGATTTGAACTGAACTGAACCTGATTTTTCATGTAAAACCTACATCCCTCACACTGCAAATTGTTCCTTTCAAATTTTAACTGAATTGAATGTTTTCTATTTTTCAGAATTTGGAAGACTGCTACTGTTACTTTATTTGTGGTTGGACTCGTTACTGCAACAACTTGTTGTTCACCATAGTTTGAAAAAACACCAAAGTTTTTCAAGATGGTGTAATTTAAATTTGGCACGGTTGCCATTAGTTATAATACTGAGAAAATTATGTATAAGTATTATCATCCAGAATTGTAGAAAAATGTTCCTTTTATTGGCTAGCGCAATAAATCATCTTTCCTTTACATTTTTTCCAGCATTACTTTTACTTTTATACTTTTAATACTTTTAAAAATTGTATTTTTACACTTTCTAACTCTACTTGAGTAATAAATATCAATAGTATTGACACCCCTGGTTACTAGTAGTTTAAAGCTGTTTTGATTAGATACAAATTATTTTTAGTCACCTACGGTTTTAGCCCAGAAGCTAATCACCATCATTGTTACTGTATGTCATTTAAGATGGAAAAAACCTACGAAATTAAGGCTATAATATTTTTGATGAACTAGTACGAACTACTTACATTTACTCAGTTACATTTACTTGATTAACAGTTTAAAAAAATTATTCTTTTAAATAAAGCTTGACTGTACTGTAACTAAGTAATATTGCTATAAAATATTATTACTCCTAACTGATTACAATTTCTGGCTTTTTTGATTAATCAGAGTAACTTGAGCTATTTTGAGATCAGGTGAAAATACAGAAAACAGTAGATATTTTCAGTAGAAGTTAATTACGCCATCCCCACACATAAACAGTTCTTACTGTACATGTTGGGTTAGTTTGGAAGATTATTCTTAAAAGAAAAGGATTTGGAAGCGTATTTCTATGTTGTTCATTTGTAATTTTCCAATCCTGTCATTTATTTGTATTTGTATTTTTTTTTTAAGCTGCATTATTTCTAAACATTAAATCAAATCTTATGATCCGACAACCACTCAGTACGTAAATAGTCTGTTTACCAAATACATTTTTTACTCGCTTGAGGATAAGATTTTGGGAACCCTACCCACCTCTGATGAACTTACAAGCTGATGGCAGGTATTTTAAAATGGAGCCTATGCGGAAGTTCAACTGAAGAAACTGATTGCTCGCCTGCATCCACCTGCGACACAGCCAATCAGCTTTGAACCACACCTCCACGAAGGCCAATCAGCATCCAAAATCTTAAAAGGCCTCCGATCCGCTCCTGTCTGCTCCTGTGCGGGGGCGGTGGTTGCGCTGTTCATTCAGATGTCCCCGTTTCAACCCACCTCCAGCCCCTCCTCCACCTTTGTAGCTAAAGCTTCATCAGAGTGTCATTCCTCCTGGAATCTCACTGTGTTCCCTGTCTCATCTTAACCGGTCTGGCATAAGACCGCCATGTTGAGCCTGGTTCTGCCAGAGGTTTCTTCCCAACAGTGAGTTTTCCTCTCCACTGTCGCTTCATACTTGCTCATCATGGACAGGTTCTCTCAACCTGTGTTATCTAACTGGACTTCCATCTTCCAGGTCCCTGAGTGAAGCTCTAGTATCAGCTCACTCAGTCCAATGGATCTCCCCATTAAGCTCAGCAGGCCGTCTCACTAACCAGCAGTCTACAGACTGACCAACTCCCTCTATCTCCACTCCATCACCAGTTTCAGGCCTCGGGGGGAAACAGCCCTGTTCTTTGCTCCTGTTCATGCATATCTTTAAAAATTCAGCGCTATTTTTCTTAAGCGTCAAAGACAAAGTAATTTTATCAATAAATGTCTTCTAATTGTCTTTCTCTTTGTGTGAGTTTTTCAGATTGAAATCCTTTTCGATTAATTTTAACTACATAACATCAGACTTTTTAACCTTCAATTCTGTCTGTCCATCACTGTGTGTCTGGACAGTGGGCATTTTAGCTGCTAATTCTTCTAAGAATTATTTCAAAATGTTAATACTGATTTGAGCCGATTCTTTAACTTTTTCTTTCTTTTTTGGTTTAAGTCTGGGTTAAGTTAGAAGCGTTTAATCTATTATCAGATTGCTTCTCATTTACCTACATCTGACTAGAAAAAAGTATTTAGAACATTATTTAATGTGTTTTCCATTTTTTTTCTTTTGAGTAACTGTTTTTAGTGTATTTTTAATTCATATTCAACATAAATAAGCAAGTTTGATATATCTGCCTTGAACTTCTCTCCAAAAATAATACTACTTCAAAAACGTCAAATGAAGAAAAAAAAAAAAAAAGAATGCTCTTTTTTCATAAAATAGATAAACTGTCAGCTGTGAACAGGATGAGTCATGAGTGTTTTCCAATAGACATGAAGCATCTGAATGA